CGGCCCGAACAAGAGACTCTGACAAGCGCTCCCCACCTCGACTGAAATCCACCCGCCGCTTCACGGGCCAGTGCCACGCCAGGACAGAACAGCACCTTGGATTGGCGGCAAGATGTCCAGAGAGCTCTCTCCCATTCTCTCTCTCGGAGTGGGCGGATCGACACAGGCTCAGACACTGGCGGGCGGTGCTAATGCAGGGCGCCTGGCCTTGGCGGCCTTAGCGAGCTGCTTGACGGGTACAGCATGCAATGGCCCCTGTTAAGCACTGCTTGGCTGCGGGTGTCGTGGACCCCAAAGACGCCCCGGCCCAGACCAAACCTCGTTTTTCCTTGGCTTGGGTTCTGCTGAGCTTCCTTTTTGGTCGATTCACATGGGCGGATAACTTCTCTCCAAACCCCCTCGAGCCGACGTCCACGCCTCCGATCCACCCTTTCCGACCGGGTGACAGCACGGTAGTGAGGGGACGGGCTGCAGGTCTTATTGAATTGTGATAATCGCCGACATTCACATGGTGATATCATGACGAGAAGTTGGCTGAAACGCACCACCAGCTCCCGACCGGCCAAATGACCTCGAATTCCCCGGACCCTAGGACGCCGTGTTCAAGATTCCTGTTTTCGGCCCCAGGATGCCGCACGAGAGTCTTCTCGGACGAGGTCGCACGCTCCATGAGATGAAGGGATCTGAACCCACGTTGTACTGCTCTGGCTGGTATGGAAGAAAGACAAAGTGTGACGGCGCACCATCTATGAGCTGACAACATGGTCTTCTCCGTCCGAAGTACCCGAATTTTAACATCTGCCAGATGGGGCAGCACCGAGGTTTGTCCCGACAACGGATATCCCAGGAAGATCTCTTGCCTCTTTCACAATTAGAACTCGGAGTGACAGCGACGCCGTTCTGCACCAAGGGATACCAAAAAGCAACGGAAGAAAACTGTCTTGGTCGTGCAGAAAGTCCGGTCCTCTGTCGACCACCGGCTAGAGAGACCACAGCTCTAGGGATGGGATCAAGACATGGAAATTTCCTCCAAGCTCTCGCCAGCCAATCTCAACCTGAGGAATGCTGGCCCCTTTTCCTTTTCCACGTTAGGGACCATGTTTTCTACTCGAACGTTCCAATGGGCATCGAATTCTCCTCAGCCAAAGGGACGAATCCTAATGTCCCGTTTGCCCATCGATCGCAGATCCGCGACATTCGTCCACGTCGTCCACCAATACCGTCCTCCACGTCGACTTGGACATCCACAGCCAGCAAAGCCGGCCAACCCCTCTCGGTAATCGATCGAAGCACAACCCTGGCTCGCCCCCTCTTCCGGCCCCTCACCAGCCCACAGCCAACGCTACGGCACGGCAAGTCAAGACAGCCTAAGGACTGGCCAAGTCCAGGAACCGCCTTCAGTGCCGGCCACCCGCAGCCTCCGTTTCCCCGCCGCGTGCCCACTACCACAGCACGCCGCACCACCACCACCACCACCACCAACAACACCAGCAGAAGACTGACCGCTGCTGATGCATACCCAAACAAGAATTTCTCTCTCGGTCTGCCTCCGCAGCCCAAGCATCTCACTAAACAAGCCCGACTGAATTCAAGTTCAACATTCCACTTGATTCGCTTCCGCCGTGGTACCTGATCGGCAGTAGCCACACCACACCGCATTCAAGACACACATCAGGGCCCTCCAGCTCTGGGCTGGTTCTCGCAGCAGCGTAGCGGTTCGCTGCACAAGCCTCTTGTCTCAACACAAGACAGGCCGGTGGTCGCATCCAATCCAGCACTCTATCCTCGGTTTCTCAATCATCAATCGCTCTACGCTGCGACGTCTGACAGGCCAAGACCTCTCGGCGTCTTTTTGGGGCAAATCAACATATTTGGTAAACCCGAGCACAGAATAGAGTGTTTTTCCAAAATAGCCGGCAAGCAACCCCTTCGCCTCAAGCCCCCGGTTCGTCCGAATCGCTAGCAGACGGTATCCTCACCCCTCGCCAATGACTCGACGGGGGAAACCTGTGCTCTACCTCTGACATCACAAGGCCCGGTGAAGAGTCCAGTGACTTTGACTTTGGGCCTCACAGCTGCCCTGCTGTGCCGCACTTGGATGATCCTAGTCGAGGGGTGTCCCCAGCCCAGCCCTGTTGCTGGAGGCGACCTCCCAACCACCCGAACCCTGGTCTTGCGCACGACAACCATCACTCATCCACCCACCACAACATCATACCAGCCAGCTAGATGGATAAACATGCGGGCAAAGTGGCTGTGGAGTTGACACAAGTGTGGCATAGCGAGCTGCAAGTACATGCGGTCTCGCTTTGTTGAAGGTACCGTTTGCATGCAGTCTGCATGCCTCTGTACAAGGCCAGGACCATGGGGGAAAGACACAACTCCGGCCAATACATACAAACAGGACGGCTACTTACACCACATAACAACACTACTGCAATCCTAAGCACATTTGCTCCATCATATCCACATTCTAGACGTCAAAGACGCGCAATATCCATGACTGAAGCTTATCTGCTACCCTAATCGCTGTCCTTACTCACGCGGCTCCCTCGTTCTGTATATGAACCCCCAGCCCTCCCTCCATCATCTCTCCCTCTGCTCTCTAGGATTCACCTCTTCCATCCCTGGCAATACTCTCGCTCATAGGTCCACCCTAAATCAAGCTGCCTGCCACGTTTCGTTCAGTGTTCTTACTTACCACTTTTACCTTCCACCGACCCTTCGACACTCATTATCTACAACATCGCGTGGCTGGGCTTAGGCAACAGTTGAACACGACCTCCATCCGAGCTTGAAGTACCGACGGAAGAACAAGGCCCTACCCGATCTCACACTCCCGTCATCCCACGCGGCAGCTGCACAGAGGAAACCACGCCCAAGGAAGCACCCGCCTCTTTTGTGCTTTGTGAACGAAGTCATTGTTAGACCAAGCGGGTCAGAAACTTGCGGGGACACCATTCACCACCTCATCTCTGGGAAAAAAAATCTTGGCTGTGGAAAGTTTTCTCTGGCTACAACAACAACAACTTGCTCCTCAACCAAGCAATTTCGACCTTGTTGTGACCTCGACAGATCAGCATACTCTTACAAAAACCACACACCGCCTACTCGCTCTCACAACCTCAGGTATGTCAACATCACTTCTTTGGCTCCATCGTCTTCATCGTGGGATGGCCGTCGGCGCCTCCCTCGTTGTCACTTCCATTTTCTATCGCCACGTCTGCGCGATCCGCCTTCCGAATTTCACCAAAGTCAGGTGCCTCTGCTGGTCACCAGCGAGAGATGCCGGGATTCATTGAGATCCCGATTGCCCGAGTCTCTGCCGCTCCTGACGAATTGGCCTGGTCTTCTCTGAATCTTCACATTTCCTAGCCTACAAAAAGTCACGATTCGCCTTTTTTGGGATCTTTTTCTAACAAACAATTTCTCAGACAAGATGAAGTACTCGGCTTCCGTTCTCGCTACCCTGGCCAGCGCCGTCATGGCCATGCCCCAGGCCGGCAGCGCCGCCCTTGCTCCCAAGGAGGCTGCTCCCGCTGGCTGCCAGACCTCGTACTCTGGCAACTTCGGCATCACCATTGTCGGTCTCGGCAAGCGCAACCTCGAGGTAAGATCAATCACCGCCAATCTTGGGTTCTCTTACTGACAAATCACCAGACTCGCAGCAACTGCGGCCAGAAGGGCGCTCTTGACTTGACCCTGAAGGATAGTGTCCTGACCGACTCCCAGGGCCGCATTGGATCCATCGTCGCCAACTACCAATTCCAGTTCGACGGCCCTCCCCAGTCCGGTGTCATCTACACCTCTGGCTTCTCCGTCTGTGGCAACGGCTCCCTCGCCCTCGGTGGCTCGACTACCTTCTACCAGTGCCAGTCTGGAGACTTCTCCAACCTGTACGATAGAAGCTGGGCTCCTCAGTGCTCTCCCATCCACCTGAGCGTCCTCCCTTGCGGCTCCGACGCTCCCGTTCCCTCCGGCAATGTCGTTGGAACCACCATGGTCGCCACCACTGTCGTTACCGTCATCGGTGACGGTCAGCCCCAGGTCGTCCCCACCGTCGTCCCCGTCCCCATCTGCCAGATTGGCGATGGCCAGATCCAGGGCCACACGACTCCCTGTGGAGAGCTCCCCCCCGTCACCGTCACTCCCGCTCCTCCCGCTCCTCCCGCCCCGTCTGCGCCGGCTCCTTCTGCTCCCGCTGCCCCTCCCCCGGGAACTCCTGTCGCTCCCCCCGCTGCGCCTCCCGTCACCACCCCGGCCGCCCCCCCGGTCCAGCCGTCTCAGCCTGCCGCTTCGCAGCCCCCCGTCGCACCTCCCGCCGTCAACACCACCACTCCCGTCCAGCCCCCGGCTACCACTGCTCCCGCCACGCCCTCGAGCACGACTCCCGCCGCTCCTCCTGTCGCCGCGGGCCAGCACATCGTTCCAGCTCCTTTCGTTGCCTTGATCGCTGGTCTGATGGCCGTTGTTTACATGATTTAATGACAAGCGCCATGTGCCTTTTGGCTTTCGGGGGAAAAGACCTCATTGGGTCTCGGAGGAGATAATGCTTCGCTTACGATTCTTCACTTGGCCTGTTTGGGCATTTTAATGGAATGAATACCATCATGAGATACACGGCTTTTGTCATTGGGGATTGGGCTGGACAGGTTTGCAGGCTTGCAGACGGATTAGGGACAAATATGATTCCCCGGGTAGTAATCCCAATAGACTAAAACGAGCAGTCTTCTACTGCAAAACCTTTCAGTTCCGTTTGATGCGAACGTGATTCTGATGTGTGACATGCGAGTCGGTGATATGGAGCAGTTGAAGCAGCTCCAAACCACCTCAGGGAAGGCGGGCAGTGGGTAGTCTGCAGGGATCATCCATTGCATGAGTGCACAGACCAACTAACCGTGCACCTCGAAATTCTAGCACGCGCCTTTCCCCAGTGACGTCTTTTGCCCGTTTCTTCCACTTCCACTTCACCCCAAACCAACCACCCCCAACCCTCCAAAATGTCCGAATACTGGAAATCAACGCCGAAATACTGGTGCAAGCACTGCGGCATCTTCGTCCGCGACACCAAGCTCGAGCGCCAGAACCACGAAGCCACCGGCAAGCACCAGGGCGCGCTCAAGCGCTTCCTGCGAGACCTCCACCGCGGCCATGAGCAAGAGGAGCGCGACAAGGACCGCGCGCGGCGCGAGATTGAGCGCCTGAAGGGCGTCGCCTCGGGATCTTCATCATCATCTACGTCGTTTGCGAAGCCTGGATCGAGCAGCAGCGCGCCGGCACCCGCGCCGGGCGGAACGGAGGCGGCGAGGAAGAGGCAGATGGAGCAGCTCGCGGAGATGGGCGTGTCGATACCTACCGAGTTCCGAGGCGATATGGCGATGGCAGGCGAGTGGACCGTCACTGCGACAAAGGTCGTGGACGAGGATGCGGCCAAGGAGAAGCCCGTGGAGGCGAAGGCTGTCGGCGTCCGGAAGCGCGAGCAGACGGAGGAGGAGAAGGAAGAGGAGGACGCCGTGCGCGGGCTGTTTAAGAAGCCCAGGAAATGGGGCGGTATGAGGGCGATGCCGGAGGACGACAAGGAGCTCGACGCGCTGCTCAGCGCCGACACGCTCTTCCGGCCCAAGAAGGAGGAGTCTGCTGCCGCGGAGGACAGTGTCAAGAAGGAGGAGGGCGCAGACGAGGCTGCGGCGGCAGTGACATCAGATGTGCCCGCTATCAAGGCTGAAGAGGACGAGGCTGGCGACAAGCTTTCGGCAGCGGCGTTGGGGCCAATCGCCGATGCCGACGGGGTGAAGAAGGAGGAAGACGGCGTGGAATCCACGGAAGCCGCGGCACCTGCTGTGGTGTTCAAGAAGCGCAAGGCCAAGAACATTCGGCAAAAGTGATTTGCTGTGGGGAATATCTGGGGTTCAGTCAGGGGTGGCACAATTTGCATAGCGAAGGCGTTCTGGGGGCTGCTCCCAAAGAGACAGACAGCACCGTTTTCTCTCTCCATCTCATAGACACCGCTCGGACATACGACCTGTCATCCTTTCTTCTTTTTGGATGATGCCATTACACGGAAAGCCTCGGTTCATCTTGACATGCGCAGGTTGCAATTGCGCCCTCTAGAGTTTCATCGGTGCGGTCGATCAACGAAGCCTCCTCACTCGGGCGGCAATATCACGAACCCGTGCCAATGGCAGTCAAGCCTACCTAGCCCGAGGTCTGCCACGAAAACACAGCGATTGAACACAGTACGAATTAACACCAAAGGGTATATTCGCACAAGCCGGGGCCTGAGAAATTAGCGGGGTGAAAGTCCAGCAGCCGCACGTGACCGCCACTCAACAGCAGACGGGACCGTATTCGTAGACGGGGTCTAATTACCTGGTCGCTCCATGTCAATGGAACTACACACCGTTGAACATCCTTTTCCTTGGCCCGGCTGGGGGTGACTCCAATCAACCCGCAGAAACCCAAAAAAGGCAAATTTCATTCTCACCTTCACACACACATCTCAACTCACCGGCCCCGTTTTCCAATGTCCGCCTCATCTTGACTACGCCACAAATCAGAAGACAAAAACTCTCAACAATGAGGCGTCCCGATGCAAAAGACGATGGTGTCCCCCCCAGCAGCTAGTCCGTCCTCAATATCCCCGGCCAGCAGCTCCCACCTCGGGAAGCGCACCGAACTGAGCAGCGAGGACGCCGCCGACAACAACAACAACAATAACGGAGGCAAGCCGACCTCCCGCCCCAAACGCGCCCAGGTCTCCCGCGCCTGCGCCCGCTGCAAGAACCTCCGCCGCGCCTGCAACGAGTACCGCCCCTGCAAGCGCTGCGTCGACGCCGGCCTCGGCGACCAGTGCCTCGGCCTGCCCGGCCCCGTCTCGCTGGCCTGGGTCTCGGACGGCAGCCAGGCTTTTGGTCATGTCCCGCACGAGGCCGTCCAGCGCATGGCCGAGCTGCTGCCGGCGCGCGTCATGGACTACTGCGTCGACCGCTTCTTCGCGCGCCTGCACCCGACGATCCCGATCCTGACGCCTGAGTACGTGGCGCACCTCAAGGTCGTTGCCGGGCCCAGCGGCGAGCCCGGCATGGAGGCCCACTGCCTGCTGACGGCCGTGTGCGCGCTGGTCCTGCTGCAGGTCGAGGAGCCGGAGAGCCTCTTCGTGCGCGGGCTGATCCCGGAGAAGAACGCGCTGCACGGCCGCATGCTCTTCGAGGAGGCGCTCGCCGCGCACCGCAACTTTGCGCGCCGGAGCAACCCGAGCTTCGAGCAGTGCCTGCTGACCTTCTTCCTGTACGCGTGCCACTCGGCGCTGTTCCACCACAGCCAGGCGTTTCTGTTTCTCCGCGAGGCGACGACGCTGTTCCTGCTGCTGCGGATGAACACGGAGTCGGCGCCCCGCGCGCTGGCGGACCGGCTGTTCTGGGTGCTGCTGGTCTCGGAGCGGTCGCACGGGATCCGGTACCGGCGGCCCGTGACGCTGCAGATCACGGCGGAGAGCCCGGCCATGGACGAGGGAGACCCGCACCTGCTGTCCGGGTTCTGGAGCCTGGCGGGGCTGTTCGCGCCGCTGGACACGAGCTTCATCGCGCTGCTGAACCAGGAGAAGGTGGCGACGCCGCCGTCGAACGCGGCGCTGACGCTGATCGAGACGGCGGTGAACTCGGCGCTGCGCGCGAGCAGCGAGCTCAAGGATACGCAGAAGGCGAATCTGAGGGTCACGCAGCTGTGGCTGCGCATCATCCTCTGGCAGCTGCGGCTGCGGTTCGGGTATTTGCAGGTGGCGGAGGAGGCGGCGCAGACGAGCATGACGTACCACTACCCGCTGGAGGTGGCCAAGGACCTGGTGCTCTCGACGCGGGACCTGCCGGTGGACAGCATCAAGGTGCATGGGGTGGGGCTGACGGAGAAGCTGTTTGATATTGCGAGCGCGGCGGTGGATGTGCTGGCGAGGGTGCCGATTACGCCGAGTAGTCCGCACAGGATGGGCGCGGGCCCGGAGGATGATTTGAATTATATGCGGCGGCTGATTACGAGGCTGCCTGGGGGGAACTCTATATATGACGAGCTGTTGGATAAGCATATCCAGCAGGCGGTGCCGAGTATGGTGCTCGGAGGGGTGACGCCGGGGCAGTCGGGGCATTCGACGTGAGATGTGTATATCACAGGAGAGGGGGAAAAGCATGAGGATGTTCATTAGGCATGATTACGCTAGGGATACTATCTAGTAGTAAACAATATCCAGGGTATTTAACGAGTTTTCTTTTTGAACCAGATTTCATTGTACATCAAAACAAGGACATTCAGTGCTCCTCGACGAGCTTCTTCTCGCTGCTGAGCTCCCGCGAGTACGGGTCGATCTTTGTGCTCGCAAACTTCCTCGCCGAGACGCCGTGCTCGAAGAGCAGGTCCAGCTCGGCGTACGTGCGGCCCTTGGGCTCGGGGACGCGGAAGTAGACCCAGACGGAGGACAGCAGGCAGGTGCCCGCCCAGAAGAAGGCGGTGCGGGCGCCCCAGTCCCACGCGGTGGACGAGAGCTGGTAGTTTGTCATGACGTTGACGAATATGTTGCTGGCGTTGTAGCCGGCGCGGGCCATGACGATGGTCTTGGCCTTGAGGCGGGTGGAGGACAGCTCGGAGATGAGGGAGTAGGTGACGGGCCCGACGGTGAAGTCGTAGACGAAGGTGAAGATGATGAGCATGGCGGCGATGGCCCAGACGGCGGCGTTGGCGCCCGAGAAGGAGAGGCAGCCGACGATGAGGAGCAGGGTGAACTGCGCGCAGAGGCCGGAGAAGTGGATGGTGCGGCGGCCGAGCTTGTGCATGAGGTACCAGGAGCCGGCGGTGCCGACCATGCCGAGGGCGTACTGGCCCATGGATAGGGAGAAGGAGTTGTTAGCGTCCATGCCGGCCTGGACGAGGAAGTAGGAGAAGTAGCCCATGAGGTTCTGGCCGCCGAGGGTCTGGACGAGCCAGATGCCGATGACGATCTCGGTGCGGCGCAGGTCGGTGCCGCGGAAGCAGTCGGCGTAGGTGACGCCCTCCTTGACGCGCTTCTCCATCTCGTTGGTGTGCTCGATCATGGCAATGGTCTCGTCCGGGTTGAAGTTGGGCTGGTTGCGGGAGGTGAGGCGGAGGAGGGACGCTCTGGCGGCGGGCTTGTTGTTGTGGCGGACGTACCACCAGGGGGATCTGGGGGGAGTGTGTTAGTGGGGGGCTTTTGCCGGTGGGATGTAAGTGAATCCTGGGTGAGAGGAGGTGAGACTCACTCAGGGGCGAAGCAGACGCCGATGAGGATCGGGACAGGCCAAACCCATTGGACTGCGAAGGGGATGCGGTACGCCCATTCGTTGGCGTGTTGGAAGGAGCCTTTGTTGACTGCAGCAGCAAAGAATTGGCCAATGACCTGCGCTTGTTAGTTGTGTACGTCTGAGAGTGGAGGGAGGAAGCTCACCCAGCACATGTTGATGAACGTCGTGAGGTAGGGTCTCAGGACGACGGGAGCAACTTCGGAGGCGTATGCGGGAGTCACACTCTGGAAGGCGCCCCATGGGATTCCTGGCCATCGTCAGAAACGAGGAAATCAACTACAAGCATCCTCAAGACTCACCACAGAGGACCTCTCCCAGCACCAAGATCTTCACATTCGGCGCAAAGAACAGCACGAAAATGAAGGCAATCATCAATACCAGAAACCCGATGGTGGTCATCTTGTACCCGTACCGATCGGCGGTCCAACCGGCGAGGATGAGGCCGATGATTTCTCCACCGCGGGCACCGTTGGACAGGCCGGACTGCCATGCGGCGGAAAGGACATACTTGCCCTGGGCCTCGCTGTACGCTCCGTACTTTTGGTTGAAGTACTGCGAGGAGTAGAGGTTGGAGAGCAGGGCGAGGTCGTATCCTTCCATGATGAGAGTCGACGAGAGGAGGACGGACCAGGCGATGGCCTTGGGGTAGGTCTTGATGGCCTCCAGGAGGGTCATTTGGTGCTCCGAGTCGGCGGCCTGCTTTGCCTCGGCGGCAAGATCTTCGGGATGGGCGGCATTCGGAGAAGCAGCGTCGGCGTGCTGGTGGACGCCAAGTTCCTTGTCCTCCGCCGAGGAGACGGGCTTTGAGTCGGACATTTTGGCAAGGTTTGAAGTGTCCTCTGAGATTGGCGGGAATATTGGTGTAAATAGAGGATGGATGAGACCGCGAGGCGAAAGGAGATCGGGTTGCGCGGGAAGGAGTCGCCTGGAGGACGAATTTAATCGAACAGGGAGGGCATTCGCGCCTTTATTTATCCTCGCCGAAAGACACCATGAATGCAGGAGCTGAGGAGAAAGCGACAGCCAGAAGGAGGTGGTAGTCAAAGTAACATGGGGATCGAAGAAAAATTGGACAAGCACAAAAAACGCTAATTAGTAGAGAGTAACGAAAATGCCCAGGAATCTGCACCGTGCACCTCCAATGGGGGACGGGATGGGATGCCTGATGAGTCGACCGCGGGCTGCCGGCTCGTACAAGATTGGATTGGCGTGATACTGAAGTCCCAGGTTCTTGACGACCGTCTGTAGACTTGTCGGTGCCAGTGTTCAGGAGTGCATTGTGTGTGTAGGTATTGTGTGTCTCTGTGTGCAGCGTGTGTTGATCTGGACATGGGTGCTGGAGTGGAATCGCCTGAGGAGAGCAAGAGCCGAAGCGGATGTGCATATGCACGGCCGGGGGCCCGTTGCTGGGCACGTCGACGGTCGAATGAATTGGCTTTTCCCAACTCCATGGGGGGAGACTGGATGCGTGGAACGCGTGTGGAATCGGCCGCCGAAAGACGAAAAAAACACTGTGAGTAAGTCGAAAGGGAATATTGTGGAGAAGCGGAGGATGAGGGGGATCAGGGTTGGTCGATGGA